GTCATATATCTAAAATAAATTACTTTATTTGAGAAATCTGACAAGACCACAAGTTCTTTTCTCATTCATAATCAGAGGAGTGTTTCATTATATCTGATTTCATTTCTTGCAAGATCCTGGATTACATTTATGAAAATAGGCTGGCCCTGATTTCATTAAGTAATCGCTACATACTGATCCCACACAAGCAGTAGTCCATTTGAGTTGAACTGTTAAACAGTTTGAGAGTCAAAGACGGAATAAGTCTTTAGCAGGTGTAGGACGTACGCTTATAGAAATATAAGGTTTCCCACATCTCTCATAACAAGGTTATAATTATTTACCAAGGAATTTCTTATTTTTCGTCTATCTTGACTGTTTGAAGTGAATCAGACACTCAATAAGTGGAACCACTCAGATGAGTTCAATTTGATCCATAAACAATATGCGATCGTTTATTTACATAAATTAAACAAATCATGAGTTAACAACTTAATTGTGGGTAATCAGCTTCCTTTAACAAGTTTTAGAATTAATAAGATATAAATCTGCGTCCGAATTCAATCAATATCAACTCAAAATACTTATGATAGAAAAGTAATACGTCAGTTCTGATGTTAAATGAACCAAACATTTACTGGCACATTAACTTAGATTCTGGCAAGGCAAAATATTTTAAGCAAAAGTAGGAAAAGTAAGGTTAGTGGCTCTAACTTTTACTTTACCAAGTATGAGAGCCAACCAGATATGCACTTCTTTCTCAAACCAGCTTCCACCGGACCGGTTCACCATAAACACCCCCGCCCCTTTATCTTTGATGACTTCTTAAGGCTCCTGCATGCTGCTGCCGAACTGCCGAAATCATGCCAAACTGTCGCAGTTTTATGACGAAAATTGCGTCACTTATGTTCGCATCATCGGCATTTCAGCATTTCTTGTCGCAACCCGTGGGTCTAACTTTTCACCCCCCTCCACATGAGAACACATATGAACTGTGTGGTGTGATTGGTCAGAAGTTCCTGGGAGTTTTGTTTGTGCTGAAGGCGGTCAGACGCTGCATTTGCTTCAAAGCGATCGCTTCCA